GGGGACATTGTTCATCTACAATTGTCTTCACGAAAACTGGAGAACAACACAGAACGTGTGTCAGGTCATGCTCAGCAAGATATCGAAGAATGCCTTTAACATGGCTAATATAACTCAAAACTGGCCAGTATACAAAGAACATCCAAGAGTTTTTGGAAAAAAGTCCATAGAAAAGGAAAGGGCAGCTTGGAAGAACTTTTGCAACGAGATCTCCACCACGTCAACCGCCTCTAGGCTCAAAAAAGTACTCTCAAAAAATTGTATAATGCAACCAGGGTAACGGATAGTGCTCGTTATCCCTATCGCTATAGCACTTGCTGTCTTCTTCCCTCTTGTCGAAATCAATAAAGAGGAAACGTCAATGGAGATTAAGAAAAAATCTCTATTCGTTACAGAGTCCCAGCCCAGGGGCCTTATTCTGTAAAGAACAAACCGTTCGATTCGGTAGAATTTCTTCGATTGTGACGTCATTTTCGGTTTGCTAGCGCGGAAGCTATTCCGAAAATGACGTCACAATCGAAGAAATTCTACCGAATCGAACGGTTCGTTCTTTACAGAATAAGGCCCCAGGTAGCCTTAGGAGAAATGCCGGTACACATACCGTCACCTCCGACTCCGAGGATACTGCACAACTAGAACAAACTATGTAGAAACCCACTTTCCAGAATGCAAAATCCTAGACACTGCCGAAATCCCAGTGTGGCCCGGCGAACACGGACAACTGGAAGTCATATACGCGGTGATTTCGAATGACAAAATCACTTGGGCAATACGTTCCTTTATACCATTCAAGTCCGCAGGAGTTAACGGATTCATTCCTGCGATGCTTGATTTATTGTTTAAGGCTTGACTTGCGATAAATTATAAACCCATGAAGTGGAGAGAAGTTAAAGTCACCTTTATCACTAAAACTGGGAAAAACGACTACTCTCATCCAAAATCATACAGACCGATGAGTCTACTTCATTCCTCATGAAAACTCTCGGAAGGCTATGTGACAGACACGCTAGGATGGGGATGTGCATTTGCCAATGCAAGCGATACACCCTAATCAACATGCATACCAACCAAGAAAATCTACGGAGACTGCACTGCACTGTGAATAGAAGACTCGCTTTTCTACCGGCAATCGGCCCTAGGAACCTTCCCAACGATTTCTGGTTGATAAATAAAATAGATAGTTCATTTCTTTTTTTTTTGTAGCGTATGTTCAAGTGTGGCCTTTGTGTTGGTAGTGTGATAAGAGTGATTGAAATGGACTTTGACACTATCTATTTTTTGCGCAACCTCCTTCCACAATTTGCGTTGGACGTCTCTAGCATGATATCTGCTGTCTCTCATATCCTATAATGCTTTTCTTTCTCTCACCTCGCAAATTAGCTTCTCACAATCCATACCTAATTATCCACAATAGTTCTGTTCGCACATAAATCACAAACAGTCAGAGTGAATTTGATTGGTTAAAACTAGTTTATTTTTAACCATATATGAAATGTTGACATTACTGACTTTTTAAAAATTTGAAAATGTCACATTTCTGTCTTTTCATTTTCTTGCTCCATTTCCCGCACCAGGACGGGAAGTGAGGACAGGAAATTTTTTCCGTCCTCATTTCTCGTCCTACGACGGGAAATGGAGCAGGAAAAAAATTACCGTCCTCATTTCCCGACCTCATTTGGTACGATTTGGTTGGCACGAATTTTATATTTTTTTTCAAGAAATCATGGTTAAAAATAAAATAGTAGGTACCTATACAGATCTCGACGGGAAACCTCAAGGTGGCGTCCTGTCTTCTTTTCTTTGGAGTGGAGTAGTCAACAGCCTCATCAAAATCCTCAGTGAACATGACTTCTGTTCGACAGTATATTTTGCAAACCGGGAAATACGAAAACGTCCTGTGTGAACCTATGCAGACCGCTTTAAAACTAATTGAAAGATGGTGCTCAGAAAACTCCCTGACTGTCAACCCAGCAAAAACCGTGGAAGTGCTCTCCACCAAAAAGAGGAAGCTGGTCAATTTAAGACCACCCTCTCTATGCGGCTTGCAAAAAAGTTCAAATATTTGGGAATGATTCTGGATAGTGCCCACAACTGGAAAAGGCACCTAGGTGAAAAGACCAAGAAAGTCACCAAGGCGTTCTGGCAGTGTAGGGGGACTTGAAAGATTATCTCTCAGGATTGTCCTGTGGCTTTCTACCGCCGTAATCCAACCTTCTATATTCCCCTATGAAGCCTATTGTATGGTGGATCAAAACCAAGCCATAGTAGCTAGAAATAAAATGCAACAGCTAAAAAGGTTACTAAATTAATTATTGAGTACCACCAGATGTTAAAAACGATCACGCAAGCGAATAGAGTCCATGCATGTGGAACTCTTATGGCGCAATTTGTTCCGCTAAAAGCTTGCGACTACAGACGGCAGAGGCGCTGTCGTCCAATGCTGTTGTCAGATTTATACATAAAAAGTCCAGATTATTGTTTATTTGTTTTAAAAAGCTTTCAACAATGGAAAAAAAAGTCGCGTACTTCGCTAACATATAATTGCCAGTAGTACGATTTGAAATTACATTTCTTTTTCAAAACGAATATCCCATGCTTTTGACATGTGGCAGCGTCGCTTCACTTTTACTTTTTCATTATATTTTGACAAATTTTGACATATTCCAGTTTTATTCAATAATTTCAATCAGAGATTAAAAATTTTCTCCGTTCAAAGCAAAAGCCGAGGGAACAGAGTAAAAATTCCCAAAAATGATGAGCAGGTATGTTTCAATCCCTACTTAATACCGAAATCGGGATTTTACCTCCTGTAATTTTACTACTGTAACTTTTCTTTCTATTTAGGTGTTTATTTTATGCCTGCAAAACATTTACAATCAAGAAATCTTATCGATTGTAGGTACCTATTATTGATTGGATTGATATCATACTGTAGTTAATAAAGTAATTCAAAATTGTTATTTTTGTATTTAATGCATGTATTAATAGTATGTAACTCTTCGGTATGTGATCAAAATACTGTTCATCATAATTTTATTTCTACTAGAAACATATAAAATTGTTTAGTGCTAGTGGAAATAAAAAATGATAAACGGATCCTGATCCTTAAGAAAAAAAAAATAAAAATTTAAAAAGGAGCGCTTCCCGCGCTCTCAAGTTGCTGACTACACACGCGAGAGGGCGCTGTAATCAGGAACAAAATGTTTGTATTGAGTTGCCTATCTATAATATAGGTACGAGAGAGTTTTGTATCCCTTATCTATGATAGAGTCATGGTGACGTGGATTAAAAGTCACAGTGTCAGTCTAGGAAACGAAAGAGCAGATACGTCATTGGCAGATACCCTAGCAGGCACTGGAGCAGAAGGAAAACCAATAACCAATCGGCTCTGATCCATTCGTGCCGTTGACTAGCAAAACTGTAAACCTAAAGTGTATTTTTTCCCAAGATAAATTTTGACATTGACAACATTGACAATATAAACAATGCCGCTTGGCTCTGTTTGGTCGCAAAACCATATGCAGGTGTGGTATCCTTTTATATTTGTAACCAATAACGGCCTTGTTTATGCTCCAAAGTTGCCAATATCAAAATTTATCTTGGGGAAAAATACACTTTAGAAGTCGAAGAACACACCTACAGAATTCTTGGTGAGACAGGACTTCAGGCAATGGAGTGCCGCTATCCGCGGATTCTACGCTTCACGAGAAATTCCTGGAAGTATGGTGTGAACGAGAACTTACTGAATTGGAACTGTAGAGGCTCTAAGGGCCCGTTTCTCAATAGCGAGTGACCTCCGGGTTGGTTTTAACTCCAGGGTAGGCGTGTCTGGTTGCTGTGTTAAACCTGGAGTTATGCTCAACCCGGTGGTGACTCTCTATCATGGTCGGCGCACTCATATTACCGCTTTGAGCCAGCTTTTTTAGTTCACTCGTGACCGCTGATGGCTCTGCTGGCCTTATAAAACTGAGGTTATGAAAGTGAAAATGAAACAAATACCGAATGTTCTGTGTACCGAATCCTTTATCGGAAATGTCATTGTCATTTGGCCTTGCCATATTTCAAAATTTAAGTTTAAATTGTCTTTTGATTGTGTTTATTCTTGTAAAAAACTAGGGACTCGACAAACCTCTGCAGTCTGCAAACAGTGGCGACGATGAATAGAGGCCCCGCCGCCATATTTTTGAAATTTCAAATATGAATACATAGGAATTATTGGATATAAATGGATATCTTTCATCAAAATTTAGAGGTAACGTATTTCTCTGACTAAAATTCAAATAAGATATTTTTAATTTTTTATAATAGACATGGATATCCGAGGGGATATTCATTTATATCCTATTATTCATATCAAAAATTTGCAATATGGCAGCGGGACCTCCATTGTCGCCATTGTTTGAAGAGGGTTGTCGAGTTACTGAAAAAATTACAGGGAACTATCAGAGTCTATATCTCTCTATTGAGAAACCAGACAAACCGGTCCTAAATTCAATGGAACTGGGAACTGTGAAAAAACTTGACAATGACATGTAACAGTCATTTAATTTCCAGGCATAAACTAAACCTTTTTGTAAAAAAAACACAACTTCCTGAATTTTTTGCAATGTAAAAAAGACTGGCACCAAGGTACTGTTACCTACTTATTTGCTTGAGGTTAGTGCAATCGAAATACGCTCAAATTAGTCTTAAATTTTGTATTTATAAAATATATCCAATGGTATAACTTTTAAAGAAACTGACTATACCAAACTCTTTTTTTTTTAGCTAAAATGCTTGCTAAAGCCGAAATGAAATGGAAAAGGTGACAAAACATTTGATAGTGTTTGATCTAATAATGTTAAGTATATTATTAATACTTACAATAATATTTATAACTCTATACTACCTTTGTTTAAATAATAAAATAAATGTCAAAAATTAAATTTGAATTTATGGATAAGTATTTTGTGGTTTTTTAGTAAAAAAAAAGGTATTTTTTTAGAATTACTTCAACTTACCCTCCAATTTAATCTTACAGTTATCACCCACATACAGTCGATTGGCAAGTCGTGCAACTTATCAAACTCAATTATGTCTGTATCTATATCGTCCCTGGAAAATTTGCCTTCTTCCTGGTAGCTAATCTCCTTTTTGCATTCTTTGGTTTCTGGATTGTTAGCTAAAAAAAAAAAAAATATTACAAATGCAAAAGTTTCTACGAGAATAATTCCGCTGTATACATTTTAACCAAGAACATGCCAAAAACAATCTCCTAGGGTAAAATGTATAATTTAATTTTAACAATGTCAACAAAACTAGTAGCTTTGCTGCAGTGTAATGCGGTCGACAACCTTGTGCGAGTGTTGGAAATCTGTGTATAGAGATAATTGTGTCGTCTGACTTTACTTCTAACATCAAGACAAACCTATTTTGTCAAATATGAAACAAATAAACAACAGCATGTATAGTTATCTATTTATTGCTCATAGAGTGACATTTATTATTTGATATATCTGATATATTTTTATAGTTGGAGATGAAGTCAATAAGTTTTAAATCGGAAATTGAACGGATATAAACGGGTATAAACTTTTACACCAAACTCAAAGAAAAGGCCATATTACTCTAAAACAAAAAGCAGTTTGATGATAAAGCCAGGCCAACCGAACAAATCTCAAAGAGTTTTCCAAAGAAAAGATTCCAGTAAACTGTCGGAATTATGTGTTCTTGAGCTAGATAAAATCGATTATGTCGAACTCTAATCCGGTCTAAATGTGATGAAATTTGCTAAATGCACTGGATGTAATCCGAACTGGAATGTTTTGATTTTCAAAAGTTTTGTTGAGCGGCAATAATTTTATGTTGATGTAGAAAACTGAGTGTCGAGATATTACTTTATCCACTTATAGGAAAAATAACAGAAAATCTGTATGCAGGGTTACTGGTAATTTGATTATCCTATATAGATAGTAATTGGATAAGAAATATGATTGATTGATTGATTTGAAAGGGAAGCAGTCACAGGCAGCACGTAGATGTGCATGTAGTCCATTATGCATTCCCCATTTTGGTTCAGCCCTGTCTTACCTTAGAAGCCCGCATCTTCTGAGAAAGTTGCAGATCCGCTCAGGTCGGATATATGCTTTATTTCATCAGGTTCCAGAAACCTGTACCCGAGGGATCTTCGTCTGCGACTAACGAGCGCGTCACATTCGCAGACTATATGCTTGGTAGTTTCATCTACTTTGCTGCAGAACCTGCATTACGTCTCATTACTGAGTCCGATTTTGTACAGGTGGTATCTGACCACCCACTGCCTTGTCAGGACGCCTGTGATAGCTCTTAGTCAGCTTCTGTTTAGTTTGGGGAGACTTTTTGCCTCAGGCAGTTTGAGGGATCCTTGACTGTGTGAGGCCTCTTTGATTCAGCCATTCGCCATGGAACTTGCTTAGTTTTCCACTGTTGTATATTTCATTGAAAATGACAGTTAATTTTTCTCTTTGATGATCTCTGACTGCACCTCATCTGGAGTAGCACACTTTCCATCCTTGAGTGACCGTATTGCTGCCTCAACTTCATCTAAAAGGATGCCCGGTCCTGTTATTTTGTTTGTTATTAGCAGTTGTTCTAGTCTAAGGACTGAGAACAATTCTTTCACGTAATTTTTCCATGTTAATATCATTTGTTCATGGTCTACAATTATTTCTCGTTGGTTATTTTCCATTTTTCCCATTGATTCATTCTTGTATTTTCCTGTTATTTATTTGACCTGCTTACATACACCAAATGTGTCTTGCTTTGATTGTGATATTTCAATTTCTGTGCATTCGTCTTTGAGTTTTGATCTTTTGCTTCTCTGATTTTTCTTATAATCTTGTTGTTCCTATATCTGTTTATGTCATTATTTATTTTGTTCTTTCTTCCATTAAGCTCAGGATCTCATCAGTCATCCAGTTTTTCCTCTTATCCACATTTAGTGTTAGTATTTGCTACTTTATTTTTTTCGTTACCTTGACTATTTTACTTATTTTTTCCTCAACTTCTCAGTTGTTTTTCAGACCAGGTAGAGCATTTTTTAGCATGTTCATGACTTAAGTTCTTACCTCTGGCTCATTGATTTTACTCCTATCGTAAGTAGTTGTATATTGTTTTATTTTCAGCTTCTTTCATTGTACCCTAAATTCTACTAATAACAAATTGTGATCAGAGTTTATATCCGCCCCCGGATATGTTTTAGCCACTTTACAGCTATTTCTATATCTTTGATTTACCATTATAATATAGTCGATTTGCTATCGTATGAAAGTACTATCTTCTCCATCTTTTGGGGATTTCTCTAATCTGCGCGAAGGTAGCTCAAAAAATGTGTTCAATATGATCAAATCATTTTCTCCTGAAAGAGGACAAACTATTTTTACACGCACATTTCTTTCTCCGAGGTCATGGAGTTCAATATGGTTTCCTGATCTTCCACTCTGCATTAAAATCACCCATTATTATAAGCAGTTCTTTTTAAGGGTTTTTTTTTTTGATGAGATAGGTTAATTCAGTGTGAAAGTTACTTATATCTGCCTCTTCATGTTCACTTGTGGGTGCATACACCTGTATAATGTTGACATTTGCTGGAATTACTTTTATTTGAACTAGAATTATTGTTTCATTGACGGGCACAACGTTTGAGACATTTTGTGCTACTGATTTGTGCAGTATGATTCCCACTCCGTATTCATGTGTAAAGATCCCAAAAAAAGGTGCATAAATTATAGGGATTTGAAAGTGATAAAGGGAAATTTTTGGAAATTTAAAAAGGAAAGTCCAATAAGTAACATTTATAAAAATTCAAATGACACGTTTTCATAGATACCAAAAGGCTCGAGAAAGATCTCAGAAAATAACTTGCTTTATTGTGTACACGCGTTGTCGGCGCTTTTGTAAGACGGAAACGCCAACACGATCTTGCGACATATTTGACCCCGATATATCCTTAATTGGGACACGCAGGTGCCAGGTCTCATTTTTGGAGATAACGATTCCTAGAAATAGCGGCGTATAGTGGGATGGAATACTATTCAAAAAGATTACAAACAGAGAGAAATGAGCATTAGCCTTAGCATCAGCAGTTGATTCATACTGAGATAGTAGAGAACAGTAAAAATTGACAGTGATTCGAGACTCCTCCAAAAGGTTTTTGTTTTTGTTCACCGTAACTGTTGTACTCCGAAAATACGGAGAATTTGATTGGTCGATAGGCCGTGGATTCCGGTTTAGAATTCACGAGGCGCGTAGACGTCGTATCATTAATCAATTCAATATCAAGCAAGAATTGTATCTGTATAATTTATAATGTATAATTTAGTGTTCGAAGAGAAAGTAAATTAATTAAAAACCTCATATAAAAGGATTGAAATAAAGAATTGAATTCACTCTGGAGATGGTATACAGGTGGCTGTAATGTTAGAACCATTTTAGATTTTTTTTTATCAGAAAGGTGTTGGCTAGGATGTAAAATCAAGATACCATTCCTTTTATACATCCAGTTACACCGAACGTGTCGCTCTAGAGCTCCTCGGAGTCGGTCCAAAACACACAATTCAGATATTATCAATATTAACATTACCTAAAAAACAAAAGGCTTCTTGCACCTCCCGCAAATTTGGTGCATCAGGGGAAAGGGGGATGCTCTATGAGCGACTCGAGTGCTTAACGCACTTTTAAAAGGAACGTTCAAGTTTTTAACATTGAGCAGCTTCGAGTAACTTAACGGGTAAAAGGAATGCAGTGATTGTAATTTGGTATAAAGGCTCTGTTCATTTTCTCAAATAAAGTATATTTATTATTGGAAAACCGTACTACAGTTGTTTCTCTCACTTGCAAATAGACCCGCCCCTACAACTTTAATTTAAGGTAGCTGCCAAAGGAAATTAATTTAGTCCATTCATTATTTACATTAATCTTTCCTTTCTATTGTTATTTATTTGGCATTGATAAAAAGTACATTGTTGGATATTGTGTTTCTTTTTGGGAAAAATGCGCATTGACCTCTGGTGTTTCCGTCTCCACTGTTTAAAAGCTAGCTAGAGCACGTGTGCTTTTAACCGCCATAATCCTAAGGGTGGCGCGCGAGATTCTCGAAAATTGCGAAATCAACCGCATTCTTACCGTAACGCTATAAATTTGGCGCCCGAGCAGGGACCGTTTTCCGCATGACGTCATTATGTGATCAAGGACTTTACGTCATCATCCGTCCTCCGTCTCACCGGGAGGCCCTATTGTTTTGTTGACCATTGGAATGACCATACGGATTTAATGTAATTTCCAGGCCACCGATCGCCCCAAAATGGGCTATTCTGTGTATGACGTCTTGTCATCCGCCCCGTGGATGGGGAGTTCTAACCCAGTGGCGCAGCCAGGTTTTTTATTTGGAGGGGGGTTTTCATAATGATGAAGGCTCGCCGCAGGCAGGCGCTGCCGTAGGCCGGTCACCATAGGAAGAATTTTTTTTCGGGTGTCACGCTCAAAAACGTTTATTTTAAGCCTTCAAAAAATAACTTCTTGTAAGTGATTGTATAGTCAGAGCTGGTGGGCAACATGCGATTTAATGATACCATATGCAGATGGATCAAGTCCATGCTAAAACACAGGACTATAAACTCGACTATTGTGAAACCTCTATTGAAGTAACCGCGACAAAAGGATGCCCACAGGGCGGAGTACTTTCATCACTCTTGTGGAATCTAGTCGTGGATGAACTTCTGAGGAGACTAAACGATCAAGGCTACATCAACATAGGCTACGCCTACGCGGATGACATAGTCGTTGTTATTAGGGGAGGATTTACCAAGACGGTATCAAACCTTATGCAGGACGCCTTAGGAATTATTGAGGAATGGTGCACGAGGGAGCAACTTCGCGTCAACCCCTCCAAAACAAAACTCATTCCTTTTACGAGAAAAAGAAATCTGGGGAACTTAATCGCCCCGTCTATTCCAAAAAACCTTGGAGTTTGGCAGGGAAAGTAAATGTCTAGGCATCATCCTAGATATGAATCTGACATGGCATCAATAAAAAGAGCGATTGGGAAAACATGGGGACTAAAACCGTCAGTTGTACAATGGATATACACTACGGTTGTAAGACCAATGATAACAAATGGTGCACTTGTATGATGGCCTAAAGTAA